AGAGAGAGAGAGAGAGAGAGAGAGAGAGAGAGAGAGAGAGAGAGAGAGAGAGAGAGAGCGTGAGAGTAATGCAATTTTGCATAATGGCGGTTTAACTTTAATCTTTTTTATGGGCCGCGTAATGGCCCGTTAAGCGTGTTTTTATTACCCCTTTCTCAAATACAGCAGTATCCAGAGACCATCGCCCATCGACCATCTCAAAACCCATTTCCCACTTTTCTTTTTCGTCTTTCATCTCGTCCACCGTTTTCTCGAGTTTACGAGTCGTCCTTACGTACGTCCCCCCCACCCGCACCGTACATGCCTCGGTACATCAAAATTCTGGATATAGCTTCATTTCGTGGCAAAATGGGTCATCCGACTGAGCGCCAGGGACGCACCTTTGGGTTACAATAAGAAATACTCAGAAATGTCCAGAAGCGACCGAGTTTGCGCAACCGACCAGCACAGAAGATACGATTTTTATAGCGCGTCCGCGCAACGTTTTAAAGATTTTTCGTTGACGAAACAAAGTTCGTTATCTTTATAAAATCTTGTTCCACCAACGTGCATGTAGTGTGTATATGTATTTTGTTGATAAATTTTATATAGCTTCATTTCGTGGGACGAATACATTGTTTCCATAATGTGTATATACGTATATATATATATTGCGCCGCAAATTTACAAACTAGAAGATATAGGGAAGTAAGCTATAAGAGAGTATATGACGCTTCAGCTATACGTAGCAACACAGCTAATTTTTCGTCTACAAATGACCCGATACTCTATTCTATTACTAGACACGCAAAATGGGTCATCCGACTGAGAGCCAGGGACGCACCTTTGGGTTACAATACGAAATACTCAGAAATGTCCAGAAGCGACCGAGTTTGCGCAACCGACCAGCACAGAAGATACGATTTTTATAGCGCGTCCGCGCAACGTTTTAAAAATTTTTCGTTGACAAAACAAAGTTCGTTATCTTTATAAAATCTTGTTCCACCAACGTACATGTAGTGTGTATATATATTTTTTTTTTATAAATTTTTGCAAAATCTGGACTCGTAAGCTGTGACAGAGTAGTACAGTGTTAATGGACTTGTAAATAATAAGTACAGTTAGCCGTAAGGGTAGTTTGTGTAAACGAGATCCTGCAGTAGAATTTCAGGAGATTTGTGGAAACCCCTGTGCCAACGAGATAGGGGATGATTCTTAAGGAACATTACACAGCGAGTATAGGGGTAAGCTTGAAATTTCATGTTGATAAATTAATGTAAAAAAATTTTTTATTTACAAATAAATTTCGAGCTTGTCAATCGTCCGTGTTATTTTTCACGAAGCATCGCGCCAAGGGTGCTGTCTGCTAACCCACCCCCGAATGTAATTTCGTTCTCCGAGAGTTACCCTTGGCTAAGGGATACTTCCTGGATGAGTACGAGGAGCCAGGATAGTTTACGCAGAAGTTATAATAACATGGTGTATCGGGTTAGAGGGTGGAAAAGGTGGTGCACGGGGGATGAAGACATCCCGTGTTTCACTCTATAGTCCCTTCGTCGTTACTTTGACTATGCGATAGTGGCTATAGTCTATGCATCTGTAACTTAAACTTGTGCACGAACCTCTTTCGAGTACTCGTGTGCCTAATTGACCCACCCTTAGTGCAGGTACACGTGTTAGATCGACACACACAGGGCCGCAGCTAGTAGATAAACTCAGTTCGCAAACATACCCGAAGCTAGACCGTACCGATTATATAATCAATATTGACAAAGTTAGTAAATCGTTTTGCAAATGTATTTTTGTATTTTTTTAAAATTTCATTCTCTGGCACACGTGACCTTAGAATACTCCAGAATGTCTAATGCATATCCATGCGTACCTGAAACCCACGTAGAACAAAAGAAATGAAGATTACAAGTAGAAATTTGGGAAAAAACGGATAAACCATGCCGTGCCTGTGCTTTCGAATGCTGAATTACATAACTATACAGAAACCGATTAAGAAGGGTTGAACGACCCTTATTATCAGGGGGTGGATATTACGTTTCATTCTCGTACCACAGAGCTAATGTGTTAAGTTCAGCAGACACGAAAACTAGAAATCCCAAAGACCTGTAGATCAGAAGCCAGTACGGTACCTATCTGATGAATAGTTGAAACGTAGAATTTTTTTGAGTTAAAAATAAACGGCAGAATTCAAAAAACAACCAAGGTTAATCTTTCAACAGTATTTACTCCTCCGTAGTGGGTCTATACAATTAAGACTGTAGATCAGTCGAAGAAAACCAGGCTATCCGAGAT